GGACGATACAGTTTGATCAAACATTCAGGTGCTTCACTGAGTCAGGGAAGTTGAAGGCTTCTTGTGTCATTGATGTTGTGATGGTGCTGCCCTCTGCTGGTAGATACGGCATCATGCTGGCCTGCTGGCAGGGTGAACCCAAAGAGAGGCCGACCTTTCCTGCTCTGATGCAGATCCTGGGAGACCTGCTGCAGGACAACAGTCTACCTGCAAGTTCACTGCTGCACACACGTTCATCAGAACAAAATCATTTCTTTTTTTATAAGTTCTGTAAAGAGGTTTGACGTGTAAATCTTCTCGGCCTTCTCTTCAGGATGGGAAGGACTACATCCCCCTGAATCACTCACAGAGCTCAGAGGACGATGGGTTCTCACAGGCGTCGTCACGGCCTGCGTCTGAAGAGGAGCTGAGAATGGCCTGCAACACTCTCCCCACCAGGTACTAATATATTCTCCTCTGTTTTCCTTAAAGGCTCAGGACCCCAACAGTATTTTATTAATAAGCTTCTTGCTGTTATTATTCAGTCTTCTTCTCACTGCTTTAAATTAGGATTGACTCAGAGACTGTTTGAAGAGGGACGATATGACGGCTCTTCAGAAGTGAAGCCAAAGCGTGGCTGGCTGCAGTACTGGTCATATATCCAGCCTCCTCCGTGTTTACAGATAGAACGTGGGCCAAGTTAAAAAGACAAAGAGCATGTTGAATAAGGATGGTTGAAGGTAGTGTTTATCTCACTCGTGTTTGCTCAAGTGCTGATTTTTGGTTTTAATAAGTTATTTAATGCTATAAAAACTGGGTGAATCGTCATGATTGATCTGGCTACGGCCCAGACTCTGGCTCCAAATGGCGGCGTTTGTATCTGGGATATTTTAGCTTCATTTCTAGGTCGTGGGAGGTAGTGGAGACATGTCGACCATCTTTAAACACAGTCTGTGGTTGGATTTTTTAGGAAAAAGGTGATTCCATGTGCCTGTGTCAACAATATCAATGTGATGACAGTTTCAAAGTCATTTCCCAGAAAATAATCTCTCTCTCTCTGTGATAACATCTAAATGTACCTTGTGCTGTGGTGATAAAAACTCTTTGCACCATAAAACCATCACAGCTTAGCGTTTTATAAGAATTCCCTCTTTGCACCGAATCAAACCTTTCACTCTCTATTTCAAACTTACATGTTCAGTTTCTTACAGACTTTATTCTGTAGGTTTAAGTAATGATTAGAAAAGCAAAAGATATTAATTCCATGGAAAAGAAATGGTTGTTTAGAATGAAGTTCACTGTCAGGTCTTGAAAATGGAAAATATGATCTGTAATCTTGATGTATGTTATGTAATGCATGTTTGTAGTTTTAAAATTTGCTGTGTATCTTGTGTGCTGAATAGTTTTCAGATAATTCCTTTACAGATAATTAATTTTTGAGGAAGAGAATATCACACAGGAGTATGTTTAAAGAAGAAAGTCACACAGCTAAAATCTTTATTAATTTAAACAAATTGCTGTTTTCTACTTGCCTGCATCATATTTGTCTATATACATATACACTGCTCAAAGGAATTAAGGGAACGCTTAATGTCACAGTATAACAGCAAGTCAGTTCAATGTCAGGGATATCGATCTGTCCATTGAGGAAGCACAAGTGACGATGGATCAGTTTCACCTGCTTTGGTGCAAATTAAAGTGACAACAGGTGCAATGGAGAAGTTAAATAAAGACCCCCCCCCCCCCCAACAGGGAATGGTTTTGCATGTGGTGGCCACAGACAGCCGCTCTCTCTTTATCCTTCCTGACTAATTCTTCTTTGAATGGCATTTGCCAGAGAACACCAGAACTGGCAGGTCCGCCATTAGCGCCCTGTTCTCTTCACAGAAGAGAGCCGGTTCACACTGAGCACATGTGACAGGCGTGAAAGAGTCTGGAGAAGCTGTGGTGAATGTTATGCTGCTGTAACATCATCCAGCATGACCAGGTTGGCAGTGGGTCAGTGAGGGTCTGGGGAGGCATATCTTTGGACGGTTCCCTGACTGCTGTTAGTTACTGGGATGAAGTCCTCAGAGAGATTGCCAGACCTTATGGTGGTGCAGTGGTTCCTCCTGGTGCAGGACAAAGCCCGGGTCTGGGAGGAGATCCCCCAGGACACCATCCGCCAACTCATCAGGAGCATGTCCAGATGTTGTCGGGTGTGCATACAGGCACATTGAGGCCGTACACAGTACTGAGTAACATTATGAGTTGCTGTGATAAAAGTCACGCAAGTTGGATCAGCCTGGAGTTTCAGTATTTTCCTTAGCTTTTCTCTATGATTTTTGAATCCAACGCTCAGTGGGTTCATGATTTCAGTTTTCATTGACTGTAGTTACATCATTTTGCTCCCAACAAATTTTAGAATGTAAATCAGTAAAGATTTTCAACTTGAATAATTTGTTCATTAAGATCAGATTTGTGATCCCTTAATTTTTTTTGAGCAGTGGAAATAGTCACATCCGTCCAGGTTTTCTTCTCATCTTTCTCTTGGCATTTGGATTGAATTGATCTGATAATCTTCCTGACCAGGTATTATAACTGCGTGCCCTTTGCCGGCTGTGTGTTTGTCGGACCCTCTAAAGTCTGCCAGCCCACAGTGAAGACGTTTGAAGAGTCGCCCTTGGAGATGCACCCACATAAAGCTCCTCAGGTAATCTGCTTATCACTTGTGGAAAATGTGAACCGACTGGGGACATTTTCTATACAGCACTGGAGTTAGGGAATGTTCCCCTCAGATAATTTACATGAAATAGCGGCGGGGTCGACTAAATGTCATTTCATTCACATGATGTCAAACTGTTTGTCTCCTCCCAGGATAACCAGACGGACAGCGGGATGGTTCTGGCCTCTGAAGAATTTGAGAGAATTGAGCACAAGCACAGGGGTGCCGCCTCCAAAAGGTTATTCTTCAAAAAAAGCAATGATCGTTTTTTAATGCGGAACAGTTCCACACTTATCACTCACTGTGTCAGGTCCGTCAGATATATCTATTTTTATAGATGCTACACATCAAAGTCAATAAGAGGAAACAACCGCTATCTACTTCTCGGAAACATGATGGGTTGAGTCAGTCACAGTGAAACTACTGTAGATTTGCAAATGATGTGAGCATGAGCAGAGTCTTGATTTGTGCAAGAACAAGTCTGAGTCATTGAAACACACAGGACTCATTTTTAGAATTACATTTAACAGCTCAGCACTTACAGTTTGAGTCAAAAGAAACAAACCAGCTGCTAAAACTGGAAGGATCTATACTATCCTAGACTGAATTATTCACTCACATATTTTTAACAATATTAATGATAATACTACGAAGAAGAATGGACTTCATTTATGTAATATTTTTGTTTGATGCTTTAAAGGAAGAAGCAATGAGAGCTAGAATGACAGAGTGCATCAGTCCAATCAAGCTGGTTTCACGCAATCATAGACATCAGTCTGATTTTTCATCAAGGTCTGAATTATTCTCTGGGACTTCTTATCTCACACTGTTAAAGATAGTGAAAAAATATTCCTGTATTCGTACCCTAATCTGGATCCTGACCAAAATTGAACGTGTTCCTGACACCCTGCAGCCTTCTGAGTTTCATGGAATAAAAATGAAAGATTTAGAAGCTTGAGAATTAGTTTGTCAAAGTTTAATGAGAAGGGTAATATGAGGGCTCGGAAAAAAAATGCTTAGTCACTCATAACCAGTTTAGGGAGGTAAGCACAGGTGACGTGATCATGCCTTTTTTTGTCCCAGATGATAAATGTGATATATCCTGTTCCAATGAGCTTTTTATTTTTGTTCTGTCCCCAGTCGTATGGGCAGCAGCAGCAGCACAGAGCCTCTGACGGCCTCCCATTGTTCCCTGGGCCGAAGCAGCGATGCCAGGCACCGTCCCGCCTTCTTCAGCCAGCTGTCAGGACAGACCTTCTACAACAACGAGTACGGACACCTGTCCGAGGAGGGCTTCTGTGACTTCTTCTCCTCGCCAGACGCCCCCCGTCTGGCCTCCTCCAATGTTTAACCTTATCAAAGATGCAGCCTGAAAAGAACTGAAGGGGTTAAATGAAGGGGGCTCAGGTCGTGGGAGGTGTGTGGGATTTACTAACATCCCAGTGTTGACATGTAACTAGTCATTTATTAATGATCAACAGGTTATTTTGACCAGATCTAAACTCTACTCATCTCAAAGTTTGTTCTGTGGCCTCAACAGACTCAGCTGTGTGTGCCTGAAGTTTATCTAACCAGCCACTGGGTGGCAGCATTACAACAACAACTCACCGAGTATTGTCTATTCACACATTTATATTTTTTATCTTTTATATTCAGAGTATTCTGCCTATATTTGTACAAATTATGACTTGTATGGGAAGAAATAAAAGTTTATCTTCTTCTCACTCTTCTCTCTATCATTCAAGCATAAATGTTCCACTGAAGTGCAGCTTTTAAGAGTAAATTTGCAGTTGTCATGTGGTGACACACCCTGTGACTATCCATGTAATGGACCCGTCCATGACAGAGGCAGATATTTGTGGTATCCGTCATTTAGTGGAGGTGGAGATGCTGATTCACAACACCTTAAGCAAGGAATAGGTGACGGAGGTAAACAGAGGGATGTAGGGCAAATGAAAGAGTGACTCACACTAAGCAGCTCTTATCAGAGCTGGACATAAGCATGATGACAGCTGTGGCAGCTTAACACCCTTTTACACAGTCGCATCACAAATGACAAGCTGCAGGTCGTGGAAATGAGCATCTCGAGTGCAAAGTACATTTCATGCAAACACAATTACAGCCAATATCGCTGCGTTAGTGTGATGAGATCAGACGTTCGTCAACGTTCCATTTTCAGTTTCTGTAAATGATTGTTGTGAAGGGAACCTGGAGACAGTTTGTATACAGTCATAAAAGTTTGAATCCCTTTCTGATTTTAAAAGAGATCCTTCTTTACGTAAAAGAAGTTTAAAGGAACAAAGCGTACAACAGTCAGTGTCTTCTATGGTACCTTTACTTGAGGAACACATAGCGTTACAGTCATTTGAGAACAAGAAATGGATGACCTTTGTAATAGAAAGACCAGTTCTGAGGGCTTGTGATTATCACTGTCCTTGATCAGAAAAGCTGTGCTGACAATAGTATAAAAACAACAAAAAAACAATGACTCAAGAGGAAGAAAAAAAACATTTGGTCTACAAATTCTCTCCTTACAAAACCAAACTTCATTGAGTAACTCTGTAAATAAGTTTGTGTACCTTGAAAAAAAATTACATTTATCTCAGCAAAAACTATATTTACTCAAATTATTCCAAGCACTGAAATGAAATGGAAAAAGTCAAAACTAGGACCTTTAACAGCGTTGATGAAATGTATAAATGGAATAAGAAGAAATCAATGACCCCCTTTTATAAAAAGAAAGAAAATGCAGATACAGTAGCTCTAACATGAAGGAAAGAAAAACACTGGTTTTAGTGGCAGTCACTGAAACAGACTAATAAGATCATAATCCTCTAAGATGGAGCAGTAAACCTAAAGGCACAGTTTTAATTTCAAGAAATAAAATGACAGGATGGATGATATAAATCTCATGTTATGTAATGTAGTTTTGTGGTACAGGTACAGTTTTACAAAAAAAAAAAAAAGTACTTCCTTCAAATAATCAGTCCCTTTTTGCAGTACTGGGGGAATAAACGCAGCACAGTTAAAGTGAGATTCAAGAACAATAGATCGGTCTGAAAATAGAAACTCGTAGATTTTGAATTCACCCCCTTTTTTAATCTATAAATCATTGAATTGAAAATGACTGAATCCATGTTGCACAGATTTTTGTCACACATTGACCGTCAGCACAAATCCCAGCTATTTTTTGTTTTACTTCATTCTAAAAATATATCAGCCTTCAAAAACACCCATACTGCTTGAACCCTGTCACAAGATACTTCATCTCCACAGTAACAAAAGAGCTTTCCTCTCCTCTCCTCGCTCTGGAAACACAGGAAGCGGACATGTGATAGTTGGTGTCCACACGTCAGTGGAGCAGATGGAGCCTGAAAGGAGCTGCAGTAACTGAGATGCAGTAGTGGCGTGTAGCCTGGTAGTTACATCGAGTGCCGGAGCCACTTCATAGGTGATACAATCCCCCCCCCCCAAAGAAGTTGCTTCAGGCAGGACTGGATTTAGCTAACAGGCTAGCAACTTTGCACTTATAAATAAGACGTGTTGGGGGATGTGAGGAGTGATCCTCATGACATTTTCCCGATCTGGATCTTCTTCCAGGCCTCTGAAGCGGTGAATATACAGGAGTCGATGATGCCTGCCACAGTGAACGTCCCACCAACAATAGCACAGATCTGCAGAGAACAAAGCAGTCTGTCAGTGTCGAGGTTTAAAAGCTTCACGTTATTTTCCTGGTTACGAACGGCTCAATATCAGCTGGCTTTAATCAAAACAATAGTTTACACTCACACCTCACAATGTGCTGGAATTCAGCAGAGCTCTGTCGCTGCTTGACTCACAATCTTTCACCATGACTCACGATCACAATCCAAAGCACAGTCATCTCCGACCTTAAGTCACGATATAATTAACACTAAAAGACAAATAATAGTGTACATCATCAGCGAAGCAGCCATTTTACTTCTGACCGCATTGTCAGTCAGCAGAAAACTTTCCTGATGAGGTGGTGTTGGCAATAAATTCCACAACACACAGGGTCAGGTGGGGAGATGAGTCACAGAAGAGGAATTTAAAGAAAATATAGACTTGAATTAGTTTTAAAGTTGCTGTAGAATCATTTTGAAAGCTTTTAATAGCTGTTTTTATGCTGCTTTGAAATCGATATTTTACTTGTATATTTTTATGTCGGGTTAGGTTCAATATTCTGATCTAACTCTTCTTTGTTCAAATCTAAGATCCCCAAAAAGATCTGTCATGAGAACAGGATCTTTCCTGTTCTCATGACAGATCTTTTAAAACAAATGTACGTAATTGTGAAAAGAGAAAAACTTCAGTAGTTGTCACATTTTAAGTTTTGAATTTTCACTTAATTTTAGGTAAGAGAGTGTTGTTTGAGTTCTTTTGATGAAATTGTTGCTTGCTATGAGTTGATGAGAGCTTCAAAAAGTGAGATGATAAATGGAAAGAACCAAAACACGCTAAAGGGGAACTGCAGGTTTGAGTGATAGTTATATATACGTCTGTTTCACATAATAAAACATTACAAGTCTACAGCTAAACTAGCAGCTCAGTGAGGCTGTAGATAAACGTACACACATATGATAACAGTGATGGCTAGGAGGAATGTTTGCCATGTTAGCATTTGTTTTCCAGGTATTTGGTCAAAAACCAAAGTATTAGACATTTTCAACTTGATGGTGGACAGCAAACCAATTATCCAGGGTTAAAATAGAGAGTATAAAAAAGAAAACCTTCAGTGTTTACAACGCCAAATTCCCCCATTTCGTTTTTAAGACTTTAAAAGCTTTTTAATTTAAGGGGTTTTGGCCACATTCTAGTTCCTGGCAAGAAGGTGAATCCACTCACTGTTGTGACGAAGCGGTAGAAGGGCTGCCTCCTCTCTGTGTACTTGACTGTGATTGGACTGAGGTCATATCTGAACCAGATGGCGGGGATGATCCTGCCTGTGTGGCTGTACGCTACATATTCCTGTGAGGGATGGAAAAAGAGAGCGTGTTATACATTTTTTAGAGCCTCGATTTAATGAACAGTGTGGCAGTAATTCCCACTAGCTTTAAAAAAATCTATTTAGAGCAATTAATAACTTCCTTCTTACCGGCAAGGGTTGCAGTGGTGGTTATTAGTCATTAGAGTATTGGTTTTGGGTTAAGTCACACAAAGATCCTGAATGATTACGCACAAATGAGTGCTCAACTAAAACATCTAAAACCCAGATGAAGTAAGCAGGAGGAGGTTACAGTGTGTTTTGAGTAACAGTTACAGGATGTGATAACGGGGCAATCCAAGTTTCTACAAATCCCAATTCTGCTAAACATTACAAACTGACAATAAATTAAAATAAATTCAGACTGTTGTTGAGGTGCAGGCACCGATGTGTGCCTCAGCTGGACCTTTATTTACGCTGGCGATGAGGTTTTTGAAGATTTTGCTCAGGCCCTCTTCCTCCCTGCTTCACAGCTGACCTGCGCTGTTATTACTCGAAACCCCAAACTCAGCTGTCAGTGAACACAATTCCAGGAAGTGTGTTTATGGTTTGTTGATAACCAAGAAACCTTTCCAGTCACCAGGGGTGAGCTTTCACTTCTGGGTGAGTGCATAAGTTATCATGGCAAAAACCTGCAGGAGCCATATGTTGGGATGGTCATGGTGCTTCCATGATACGTGCAACAAATCAGGACATAATGGTATGATCTAATGGGAAGGATGGTAAGATCAGGGAAACAGCACCTTGTTGGCTACGGTGTACTGGTAGGAGAACCTCTGTCTGCCTGAGAGGTCTTCATACACTGTTGGAACAATCTTCAGTATGTAGTCATGTGAGGCCAGAGCTGCAGGGGGAAACAAAGTTATTTCAATAACAAAAGTGCTGCTTCAGTGTCCAAAAATGGATTTAGATGTGATCATGACGCAACTGGCTGGAGTCAAGTCTATCTGAGATGCAGTGTCAGCTGCGTGAATCAAGTTTCGACTCAGTTTGGTTTCAATTGCCGGCCACTAGGTGTCTCATTTCTTAGCACCACTCCGGCAGCCTTAAATAAATGTCACACAGAGGTTCTGATGAGTACGTGTGCTGTGTGTGGACATACGATTAGACAAGAGCTTGTCAGCCCCTCCCAACGCATTGAAGGCTCCTTGCACTTTTTGTACCTTTGGGACAAAACAGAGGGAGGAGACGTGTGTTTGGTCTCGTTACTGCAGATCTTATCAAGTGCTCTACGTGGTGTTTTGTTCTGTGACCTGACCTGAAGCTTTTCCCCAAATGCCAGCTTGTGGATGGTGTGGGTCATGTCGGGGCTTTGGGGCTGCGCTGTGGCACTGTGTGTAGAAACGTGGAAGTTTCCTGGTACCTGGAGACAGACAGATGTGTGGTTAACAGTACGGGCACACATTTAGTTAACTAATGACCAAGCCGGATTACACACACACGCACGCACGCACGCACGCACGGCTGGAAACTAAATGGTCCATGCCTCCGGAAGACAAATCTACCCACTTTAACACGTTTCACATATTATTCCACAAGCAAGAGTGTTGAGTGTACATCTGCTGGGTTAATCATTTTAAATGCACTGGAAAGACTGACGCACAAAGCGGTGGTGGGACACGAAGGACTTTGCGGGACTCACACTTGAGTGTGCTGTCAGAAGTAACTGAATCTCTGAGCTCTTTCATTTAACATAACTCAATTTAGCAAGAGGAGGAAGCAGGTCGGCCTCATTTGTCTCAGACGGGGAGGGGATCTGCCCCAATGTTTAACTCAGGTCCAAGACAAATACACATCATGTAGTTCGTGGGCTTAGGTCCCACAATCTGATTCATTATATTGTAATTACTGCACAAAATTAAGACTGTTGCCATTTTGTGTGTGGCAGCAGCGTTGCCAGATGTACAATAAACATAGTTTTTGTACAATAATCTTGCGTCTGTACATTCAAAAATGCCCAATTCCCATAGTATATGATAATTTAATAGTTTAGTGACAGTATTAGGAGTCATAATAATCAGTATAGTAAAATATAGATCCTACGTTTGTGTTTATGCATTCTTCTTGTCTTGATGAATGGGCATATGGACCATGTGTCTCTTTTTTTTTTTTTTCACATCTTCTCTCACGCAAACTCAATCATGTTTGGTGGATGATGTAGGAGACGGAGACAGCGATGCATGCATTTCCCTTCTGGCAAAGCAATGTGGCGGTCGTTCTTCTTCTGCACTTATGTGATGGAGACTTACTTTGTTGATGGTGAACTCTCCCTCAAAGCGACAACCGTCCCCCTGGTTGAGAGGGACCTTCATCGAGTTGTCTATGTGACCGACCTCATGGCGGCCCATCTCATCCTGGATGTCCAGACCCACCACTTAAAGAAATGACAGAGACAAGGAAGAAAATTATTTAATGAATGAGAATGAAAATTAAATAAAATATCAAACAGTTTCCTCTGCCAGATTCAAACTTTATTTTACTAAAATGAGTCCATTAGTTAACTAATAAAACTAAATAAATGACTAAATAACATTTCAGAAAGCAGATAAATCCCTGAAACCATTAACTGCAACCAACAACTTATTCATTATGGATGAATCTATTCTTATTATTCTCAAATAACATTAGAGATTATTTTAGTCTAAATGACACTTTTCTGTTTTTCATCTTTGAGTACAATGCAATAAAAAAGAAAAATGAAATCATAAGTTCTCAGTGACAAAATTAAGCATGAATGTCAAAACAAACATCTGCAGACTATTGGTCAGAGAAAGACGTCACCATCCTGTGACTAAACTATTCATCTGTTAATTAAATAAGTAAATGATAGATTTAGTGATGACGAGAATATCATTTGCTATTTTGTTAACATTCCAGACAAACAGTCACATTTCTATCAACAGAGAAAGAGAAAGATTAAGAGAGAAATCCTCGATATGGCTGCAGAGTGTGGCGCAGAGAGTAAACACACAGAGTCCAAACAGACCCCCTCTCGCGGTCTGTGTTTTTCCATCTAGACTCCACCGAGCCCCCCACCCCCCTTGCACGCCGCTGTGCGCTGGCACACTGACAGCGGCTGGTTTTCAGAGGCTAGCCTGAGCTGTGTGTTGGTGGAGGGGGGGGGGGGGGTCTGCTGGATCTAAAACCTCCACATGGCGTCTGTCTGACCTTTGACATTCAAGACAAATTTGACCCACCTCACCCCCCACGCCGTCAATCCTGATCTCAAAATACAGTGGGCGAATGTAAGTGAAGTTGGGCCCGAGTGAGGGTGAGAGCTGCTTGTTTCTCCTTTTTAAGACATTTAGAACTGGAAGTGAGTTTGTGTAAAGTGACTGGGGAGGGAGAGAATTATTATAAGCGTATTACACGCGGTTCTGCTTTTCCATGAAGTCACAAATCAAGACCTGGCAACCTGTAAAGGTCAGTGGAGGAAGAGTGGAGAGGAAGTGTTTAACTTTGGAACACCGCAGAAAAGCAGATAAATAATGCCAGGCTTTCCATGATGATAATCATTTCTCTCTCTCAAGTAAATTTGTAATGGATGACAACCTGTTTGGAGGTCTGGAAAATGAACTGGTACAATATTAACTCGCAGGGAGACGGGTTGAGGAGCTCATTACATGCAGCTGCTCTTTGGTTAGACCGACGTGTTTGGGCCAGTTTTTAAGAAGGCCCCACATTTCTGCAAATAAGAAGTTTAAATTCTGCAAATAAACAAAACCACCATACACACAATCATCAAGGGCTTAAATTGGAAACAGCGGGGGACGACCTTTGTTTAGGCATGCCATGAGCCAGCTTGTCTAAACACATGGCCAACAGCTGTGTCTGCATGCCGCAGCCTCACACGCTCAAATCTGGATTTTTCACACAAGCATTTATTGGCTTTGCCATTTTTGGATATCGTTCGAACTGAATGAGCGTGTGTGTTTTCTGACGCTGCCAGAGCCTCGCCGGTGTGCGCGCATTGGATGTGGAGTGTGTGTGTGTTTGATTTGTCCCTGGGCATAGTTTCTGCAGGGTGTCATGACGAGCAAAATAACCAGTGACTGCTCTCCGCCCTGGCTCATTTTGAAGCGGCCTGCCCACTGCTCTGACATCGAGGGACAGAACACGAGCCAACACAGGCAACTTTATGACAATCTCAGATCGCAGCTGTGAGGCAGCACAGGATACAACAGAGGGAACACAGATCAGAGGTTTGGTGTGGTGTTGTGTAACCCGGTACAGACCTGGTATTAAATACATCCTGAGGGATCCGATCACATGGAAGTGAAAATTAAATGGTCTGTATTTATATAGCAGCTTTTCTAGTCTTGGTGACCACTCAGAGCACTTGACAGTACAGTTCATTACCATTCACACACACATTCATACAGTGCATCAATGAGCAGCCCTTTTTTTTCATTAAGGGGGGAATTTAAGGTTCAGTATCTTGCCCAAAGACACTTCAGCATGCAGATGGGGAAGACTAGGATCGAAACCGCCGACTTTCTGGTTAGAGTACGACCGCTCTACCCCTTCAGCCACAGTCAGGTCAGTCTCAATGCCTGAGAGACAATCACAAAGCGTCCTGGACCATACGGGAAGGACCGCCCACTCAGCTGACATTTCTGACTCTTCTTAGTGTTCATATGTTAATTTGTTTGTCACCACAGCCACAATATAAACACTGATCACCACATACTGTAATGACTGATGCTTTTCTTAAATTGGTTAACTCTTTCTTCATTGTGCACATTCACTCCCTCTTGACTCCACTTGCTCGCTCGGCCTTTATCTATCTCTCTCTCTCAAACGCACTAACACACAGACTGTCAACAGACACATCTGTAAACTCAGACTGGGTAAAAACAACATATTTTTGTATTTATGTAATTGTTTGCGTAAAGAACAGGGAAGTGAGATCAGATCACCAGTGTTCACGGGAGGAGACACATTTAAATGCCAGATATGAAGAGATGAACTTATGTTGTCCACCTGCGATCAGATCTCTCAGGACGGATGTTGATACCAGTTCTGAAAAGGGGGCCTCACACCACATTTGGAGGTGGTTTCAGACACATATTGCCACATTCCTTTTGCTGTGTGAACACAAATGCTTCATGGGCCACAAAAACCCATTGACTACTGACACATCCATAAACTCAGACTGGGTAAAAACAACATAATTGGATCTTGAATCAAAGTGGTCACAAGAGACACATTCAGGACACATTTTAACCGCGTGAATGGACACACACACAACACTATCAACTTGTGATCAAATCTCTGAGGACAGATGTTAACACCAGGTCTGAACAGGGGCTAAGGAGCATTGAGTCTATTCTTTAGAGCATCATTTTATTTCTGCTAATATGTTCAATGATGAGCGAGTGCAGGAAAAACAGTGAGAGAAAGATAAACAAACAAAAGGGAAGTGTAATGTAGAGAGTTGTATATGTATATATACTCACAATCACAGTGTAAGTTTGGCAAACTGATGTTTAAACTCACATCTATCTTCCCACCACTGTCTTTATCAGGATCATCCACATACAGTTCATTTACACTGTGAGGGACAGAAAGGAGAGAAAGGTTAGAGAAGCTGGAACCAAACTCCTCTTGAGATGTGGGGGAAAAAAGCCAATTAAAATAAGAAAGAGTCAATCTCCTGCACAGAGAACACGTCGTTTACACTAAACAGTGAGGGAGTCATTTTCTGTTCTATTGCGAGGAGAGAACATTTGTGTATCTCTGTCAGGGTAATTTCCTTTCTGTCACACCCTCCCAAACTCATCCCTTATTACACATCGCCAGGAGGTTGACGCATACACAATACCAATTTCCTGTAAGAAAATTGACCCCATTCATTGGTTACAACACAGAGTACAACATAATGTGGGCAATAACATTTGTGATGAAGTTCCTGTCCTGTCTATTTCAGACAGCATGTCCTGTCTCTTTGTGGCAACAGGAGGGACTCTCTATGCGACTGTAAGACTGCGTTTACGGCTACAGGATATTGTGAGATACATGGTTGCTGGGAGGGATGTGATTGTGAGATACCTACATTTCAGTGGCTATGAATCCCGTCAGCTCAGACAGGAACAGGAAAAGTATGAAGAGGCAGCAGAGAATGGAAACTGCGGGCAAAGAGGAAGAGAGTTATATTGAATATATCTTATATATCAAAGTCACAGCTGAGCTTAAGAATGGCACGTCTTTCACATTCATCTCAAATTTCATGGACTGATGCATGAGGCTCCCCCAGCGTTTAGGAATGGCTGAGCTAAGATACTGAAATTAATGAAATCACAGCAACCGTGACATTTTTTCCTTAATAGCTGTTTTACTGGCGGTGTCAAAGCTGCCATTACGCAGGTTTTTAAGGATCCTCCTACACTAATTACACATTAAATACCAGCACAACAGGCAGCCATGACACCATCTCTGCTTCAAGAGAGGTGAGCTCATGCTACGAACGTCCTACAAACAGCTCTGTCTGAGTTTCCTTAGAAAAACCTTCACACAATCACCAGAGAAGCTCCACACTGAGGGGTTTAGACAAAACTAGAAAGAAACCAGATTATTAACATTAACCTTAAATGTTAGGTTTTTTTTATTCAGTCTGAGCCTAGATAAAGTCTGAGTTTATAAAAAGATGAAGCAACGCTTTCATTTTACGTGTCAAAGTAATTGACAAACTAACCATACGCCTCATGTAAAACAGTCATGTGTTTACGGATATGAATATGGAAGGAGCTGATCTGTGTCTAAGCAACTGTGGTTTATCTGGTATGGCAAGAGTGTCAGTAAGAAAGCCCTCGCTCAGCAGGAGAGACGTGTTTACATGACAACTGTCTCGTGTGCTCACAGTCATGTGACCTTGTGGTTGTCCGGGCGTCAGAGCCCTACTTGTGGTTGACAGAGGCTTTACAGAGAGTCATGTTTAACCAACAAACAACAGGGAGTGTCACTATGACACACAGGTCACCAAATCAAGTTCATCAAAAGCTCTGTTGGCTTCACAGGGTGCAATAATGGAAAGAGATTACTAAATATGAGTGTGAAGGGCTGCTAATAAGTAAATGAGTGTTGTTTTTATTCAAGCTCAAAGGCAAACAGGCTCAAAGATTGATTTCAACAAAAGCTTTTTTTCTCACGGCTGTGACACAATGAAAAGGATGTAGAGTAACAGCATGAATCAGTCTGTGACATACGAAACTAGCACATTGCCGTAATCAGAGGTTCTCTCTTCTCTTCCAAAAGCTCATTTTCCCTTCACAGCACAATAAAAAATTACAAATCTTTTGTTCTGGTCATCAAACCTCAGATTATTATGTCCACAGCGAGAAGGGCTCTGGAAAACCATGGTAGCAAAAGACCAGAGGTATTGTTCAAAGTAAATACCTTAAAACTGAACCCATAGGAATGTGACCCTAAACCACAATAACAAAAGCAGACCAGGTCAAATATTTGGCCTTTTGTGAAAAGGGGGAGTCTGGTTCTGGTTGAACCTGAACCACGCAAATCAAAATGTTAGTGGAGCTGCGGCGGACGAAGAAATAACAGTCGCCCAACATCCAAATCCACCGAATGCGCTCACCCCTAGACAGAGGATGGAGACAGGAAGGGAGTCGACTGCATACAGGAAGAAACTTCCATCCACTTCCTCATGGGTGGAAACCGTGTGTATATCTTTAGCAAATTCATTCTCTTTCCTGTCATCCACAAAGGTGTTAAGACTCTGTAAAACACTGCTCACTATTGTGAATTCTGTCATCAGCTTGGTGCTGACATTTTAGTCCTCGCTGTCATCAGCTGACCAATGAGTAACAAAGCTGAACAATGACAGATGAGCCCAAGGTGTGTCATCAGGTGTTTTGTATGCTATTAAACAGTGAATAATCAATACCATCCCTGATTACACAATGACTTTTTGGTCACAAGACGGAAACACATGACCTGACAGGAAAAACCATTCAGATTTCCACTGATGACTTCTCAGGTGCCTGTGGCAATGAAAGAGCGCAATCGTTAACATTCCTACCATACTCGCTGTGCTCAAACATGTACTGATCAGTACTGACTGACTCTGTGAGGATGGACCACCAGGACAAGCAGGTACTTGAAGTACAGCTGTCATCTCTAGGTCACTTGTTGGCGCCATTGAGGAGCCACTGGGTTTAGGATAAAGTAAATTGTGAAATGCACATGAATATCAGTCTATTGAAACACAAACAAAGCTTCAGGGAGGATTTTGGAAAAATTGTTTTTATTTAAATTTTTAAATATGCTTGTAATTCTTTTTTGGCTGTTTTGGTTTTGATAAAATATACTATAAAACAAAATGCTGTAAGCATTAATATATACATATTTCATACATATATTATATATTTATTTCTTGCCCAGTTAGATAAAAAAAAAAATAATGATAATGAATCAATTGTAAAAATGACTGATTGTGCTGTAGCGTCTTAGCTCGGCTTACAATGAAGACTATAAACAGCTTGCTGGCTCTGTCTGTACACAAATATGACCACCAGCACAACAACCACTCACCAATACATCACATTTAGTTTGTTTAATCTGTACAAAATTAAAAAAGTTTGAAAACCACAAGAAATGTAATGAGACTGTTAGCTTTGGACAGACTCAGTCGAAGTTGTTTCTCCTTTTTCTGTCTTTATGTAAAGCTGAGACTTGACTTTCTTTAGCATGAAAGGAAAATAAGCCTGGTTTAAGTTAGTGACAGAAGTAGAACTGTATTTAAATAATGTACACAAACAACTTTGCACATTGTTGTACATTTAATTTAACTATCTTTGAAGAAGCGAAGTACAGATTTCAAGAACATATGTGGACAACTGGATGACTCAGACTTGATTTATCAACACATCAACAAAGAACCAAAAACAGAGCCACGTATTTTTGGCCTGAACAGTGTGAAGAACTACTCACTGAAAGCTCCTGTGTATGTGGGCTGGGTGAGATCTTTTGGCACTTTCCTGTAGATATCGAATCTGAGGAGAGAGGGGGAGAAAAAGAAACAAAGAAAAAAGAAGGAAAGGCGGGGTGAGAAGAAAAATAACAAATGCAAACACTACGTGCTGAGAAAAGGAGCACATTCTGTACCCGGCAGGCTTTGCAATATTACAGAAGACTGGTGGAATGTTAGCTGTGGACCACGGCCATTACACATAACAGGTCCAGACAGCCAGCTGCAACACACACACCTTTGTACATCTACATTCGTGAGGACATTCATTGGCATAACGCATTCCCTAGCCCCTTATCATCATCAGAACTAAATGTCTAACCCATACCCTAACCTAAAACCAAGTCTTAACTCTGAAACAGCCCATTAGAAGTAGGACAGAAAGTGAGGACCGGCCAAAATGTCCTCACTTTCCCAAAATGTCCTCACTCTGTAGGTTGTAGGCTCAAAATTGTCCTCACAAAGATATCTGTACAAGTACACACACACACGCGCACACGGTTACACCTCTTCCTTTGAATGTGTGTTCTGTATTCTGACCTGACCACCCCCCCCCCCCCCCCCAAAAAAGGTTTCTCACACTCAAAATATTCACAGAAAAACAAGAAGCCAACATAAACACAGACACAAACAGATGAAAAGACACACACACAGGAATATAAACACAACTGTACTTCAAACTTTCTTTGGCACGAAGCGGAACTTGCAGGACAATGGAGCAGAGATGGATTCAGTCTGACAGCCGACTGTAGATTTATCCTCAGTTATATCTTCCACTTAATATCTTCACATCAACTTAGATGGTGAAGAAAAAGATGGAATTGTGTGCAACTCAGTGAATCAGAAGCGGAGGAGGATCGTGACCACCTGACACGACCAACTATCCTCTTGTGAAATGCTGTTGTTGCCTATTTGGGGAGCCGAGTAGGGGGGAAAACTACTCAACACCGAAACTATTTAGGTTCACGAGTTCTTGCGCATGTCCTTTTTGGGCAGTGAAAGATTTTCAACCCCAAACTCCATCGCTGACTGCACAAACGCCACCCACTTTTTCCCTACTCATTTCCCCTCACACACTCCCTCTCTCTCTCTCTCTCTCTCCTTTGTTTCCACTTCTCCTTCCAAACACTCACAAGAAATGATCGCAGCTGATGCGAACTCGGGGGGGGGGGGGATTCTTGTCCAGCTTCAACCGTGCTGCTTCTCTTGTTTTGGTTTTTGGTTTTATCTACTACACGAGCAATCCCTGGATCCTAAACACCTCAGCCAGCTTCCTATCATCTGCTCTGCCTCTCTCTCAGATTCACATCCATCTATAACTACCTGCACACATGTCCCATTAGTATTAGATGTGCTAAAAGCTGGCCTGGCAGGATATGTAGGGCAGGGAGGGGTTGCCTGTATCGGGATCAGAATAGATTCTACAGTAACACACTTCCTCAATGATGAGCTTTCATGTGCAGAGGCTGAGTCTCCTTCCTCACATGCCCTCCACCCAGCCATGGTACTGATCCCTTGAGACAGCCAAACAGGTGGAGCACAGTGATGTAGCCCTGCTGTTACGTGAAAACCTTGAAACTCTAGTTTTCAGATCGGGGATTGCATCCTCGCCAGACGACCGTGGGTTCACGACCTGTGTTGTTTGGGAAACTGTGTCCACACTCTTTGTTCGAGCTCCAAACTGCAATATGTGGTCAGAGTGGTCAGGAAGGAAACAAAAGGTTTGTTTGTTGAAATGTTGTCAAGCCGATGAGGTGACGTATTTACACTGCGTCAACTATATGATAGACTATAGAAAGGACAACATGTCACTTCAAAACAGTTTCAGTTTCAGGGCTTCATCTCTATCTGTATGTAGGAGTACATGCACATACATATGGGTGAGGAAACGAAATCTTAGTCATGTGGTTTGAACCGAGATGGACTCTGACGATCCTTGTGAACAGTAAATAGTCTCAGATTGATGTAAGTAGATATGCAGGGTACATCTGATAATGACAATGACTCATCACAATTTCCATAATGTCAGCATTTACAATCAGACAAATAAATACATACATACAAGAATTACTAAAAGTTGAATTCATGTAGGCTGTATTGATAAAGAAGCTTCTTATATTGTGTATGATCTCATCTGTGACTTCAATGGTAATAACATCTGTTCATTTAGTCATATTACAAAAAGCATTTTCTCCGTATTTCAATGTAACATTTAAACTATAGTCATGTATATGCAGTTGTCAATAATATATAATTATAGACATTCATGTACATTTACAGTTGTGAACATAAGCTTACAATATGGTATGGCATCATTTACAATAGATTATAACACAGTATTAAATGAATTAATTTAAATATACCTCATAATACACTAAAGTTATTATGATAATTGGTGTTATATATGTGTTTTGTGAAATAAGAACCACATTGAGTGGGTCCATTCAAGTACTGTACCACATAATTAAAACAGTAGTGATGTAATTTATATTTTGTAAAATATATTACATTTAATCACACCCTTCTCAGAAGTTCCCAGCAGACAGTAAACTTAAACAGTCCATGAACACCTCTGACACACTTATATATTTAGGTTGATGAGAACTCAGTTTCACTTTAATTTCCTCCGCTCAGAACATTTTGTATTCATGAATATTGATGTTGAGTCTCGAGAGTTCATCTCTTGGTCTAACGCTGACGTTTGTAATTTCCTGCATTACAGTCAACACGTCTCTATCCGTCACTTCCCACTGCTCAGTCTTCTGTGAAAGGTCGCAGATGTTTTGTGTCTGGTGAGGACGCCGTGTACCAGTATCTCTCCTCTGACACCGTTAAATGAAAGCACAGGGGCCGCTTTTGAAAGAAGGCGGCCTTACTAAATGAACAATATCTCGCAAATGAGTCAGAGTGAGTCAATGTTTCATCCGTTCGATGTGCTGCTCTTTGTTAACGGACAGTTTAGATTTCCTCTCACATGTGATCATCTCCCAGCACCAGCTTCAACATAGCACATCTGCTGCTCTGTAGGTTTCAATTCAAGTCATCTGCTGGCAGCGTACGTCAGGTATCAAACAAACAGTCACCCATCGCTGTCAGGTTTAAAACGTGTGACATGTGTTGACAAAGCTCTGACAGCATCCTTACTGAAGCTCTAAGTCAACAGCATCTCATAAACACAGCAGCATCAGGTGGAGCCAAACCAAATAAATGATGTAATCTGAAGGATGATTTAACTTCGGGATAGAAGCCTTTCAGTTATTCACTCATTCATTCAGAGGAGCAGCTGCTCAGGCGTTATGAGTGAGGTTATGCTTATGATTAGATGCTGATCGTTGTCTGTGCAGTATGTTTTATCATATCCCAGTGTTGTGGCCTTTTTAGGAAATAGTCCAAGAAAAGAACCAGCTCAGAACATGAGTCTGACTTTCAGTCCATATTTTCCACTACACAATAACATGTGCATCACTGCCTCACTACAAGAAACTGTTGAATAATCCAGCAAAATTCCCAACAGGGATTATAGAGTTCTGAGCTTTTAAATAATAGAACGTTTCTACCAAACAAACCAAGACTTTCTGACATGATTATAGCTGCAGGCAATAATTTTCTGTTGAGGGACTATTCAATAAATTTACAAATCATTTTGGCTAGATGCAGTTTCACTTTGGCTGCACCAAAATAGTATAAATGTTACATTTTTAATATTAAAAGAAGAAAGATTCGATTCCTATAATCACTTCAGCCTCAGAGATAGAGTAGATGCAAAACCAAATAATTAATGACTGCTCCCACATAACAAACACTTTGTTGTGACGGTAGAATGAATTTCCTTTCAATTCAAATTAGGACAAAAACAAGAAAACACTATATTAGATACAGCACTTTAAAGTATGGTGTCTCTATAGAGTTTCTGGGTGAAACAACAGGTTAGTTGGTCAAAGGAGTCCCAGGTGTTGTAATATCAGTGTTGCATGATCAGGGCATCGAGACAGCGACGCATCGAAACAAAACAGGAACTCTTGATGACCTCAAAACAGATTCACTGTCAGGAAAGCGCAGATCATCATCACACCAGATATAAACAAGATCGTTTCATAAATTCAGTTGCTTATTGCAACACGGCTGTGGTCTGTCAGAAAGATCACAGCGGATGTTTGAGAGATCGACAACAAACAATCATTATCAGTTACCAAGGTTACATCAATAAATCCCTGATATAGTTAAATATTAAACAATATAAAACAGAGACAAGCAGCAAATATTCACATTTGAGAAACTAAAGGAAGTAAATGTTCAGCAGTGATTATTCAGTTCCTAAAGTTAAGATTAAACTATTATCAAGATTTAGAAGTTTTCTACAAGTGTGATTACTAACAAAAAAATATTCATTTTAAACAGGACATCATACAATTGGCAAAACCAATTATTACTAAGGGCCTATATCCTGGACTTTGTGGCTATCTGGCTTTTTTTGGCAGTTTTTATTCTTGTAGACTAAACAGTTCACTTAAAAAATGACAGCTAATTACTACCTGTAACTAAAACCAAGTATTACCCATTATTTTTAATTTGAAATGAATAGTTTGCAGTGTAATTTAAGGATCGAGTGTCCTTGACTATTGTGATCGTGACATACCAGCAGTCAGTATCTGTCCCTGTGAGCACAGAGCAAACATCCTGCCCTTTATTTTGACTTGGGTGTGCTCTATTGACAGTTTCAACAGCTGACTGTCCGCTCTGTGCACAGACACCACAGACCACCTGAATGGTCTGTGGTGTCTGTACACACGTATTGCTCCCACTGTTTATTGGAGGGTACTGAGTCTGAATGCTTTGACACATGTGTGTGTGTGTGTGTGTGTGTGTGTGTGTGTGTGTGTGTGTGTATTGATCATCATTGATTTGTAAGTAAGGCTGGAGTCAGTGTTGACAGTCTGTAACCAACATGCCCTGAGGTGACGTCTAATAAGGAAACGTGAGGACATGTTCTGCACATGCGCAGAAGGGAGCACCAACCCTGAGCATCAGTCCAGCGGCTCGACCATCACTCTGCAGCCCACCGCCCCCCCCCCACCACCACCACCACCCAGCGACAACGTGGCCCATTCATGCCCGACGTGAGGCAGCTCTGCTCCGGCTCTCACTCGCCCCTTAGCCGGCCTTTAATTCATCCGCCACAGCTCAGCTCACCGACTGACCGACCCCCGCCACCGTCCCTCCACAGCCGAGCCCCAATTAACGGACGCCCCGTACTCACCTCCTAACATCGAAAGGCATGGTGTTGGCGGGGTGCTCTGAGGGGGAGGGGGTCGGCGGACCAGGCTACAAACAGCACGGATCTTCTCCTCAACGCTGCCGCTCGTTCATCGGTACCGGGTTGACGTCAGCTTAGGACGCTTTGCACAAGCCCATTGGCTGAGAGCTACTTCCGGTTCGCTGATTCTACTTCCGGCAAGAGCCGTTCGTCGGTTTTTACTTTTTCTTATAACTCGAGTGAAGAAAACGATCCGTTTTCAGAAATATCGTAAAAACCCATTAAAATAAAATACTGCAAATAATACTTTAAAACAAGCTGTACGTCTGTTCTTTCAGTCGTTTTTTTCTTTCTGTGAAGCACTTTGTAACTTCATTTATACCACACTTTTCTTAACAAATTATATATTATTTGTATATAATAATAAAATAGTATAATTACATTTAAATCTTAATAGACTACAAACTATATATTGATGCTATCTGGAGGGATTTCTTTTATTAAAACACTAAATAATATATTATGTTTTGTTTATTGTACCATGTGCAAGAAAAAAACCATTAACGTCATGGTATTACATTCTTCCTATTAAGAATATATAAGTATAAACATTTAATGGTTTATAACACACTTTATTTTAGTTATGTACAGGACATTTTTATACATATTTGAAAACATCAATTGTATCATATATTCTCCCATAAAAACATATTTTATAATATTTCTAGTGTCATTATGTGTTTATACAGCTGTCTTACTAATGGGTGCTCTCACGTGGAAGTGTGGTTGATAATAAAATTATATTACCTTACAAGTACATTGTAGTGTTGTATGTTTATATACCGTTTAGAAATGATATATATACAGGGAGGCATGGTGTGAATCATTAACAATTTCATATTTTATTTGCTTACTTTCACATGCAGTCCTGAGAGAATTCATGATTCATCTGTGGTACAGGAGCAGTATAGGCCATGACAATACTTTTCCATTTCCCCAGATGTTAAATGCACAACATGATAACATCAAACAGTAGCCCAAAGTACACATTCTACCATAACTACTGTAACAGTATAAACACATGGTAGTCAAAGAATTATGAATATTGTCTTTCTCTTTTCTTACACACTCATTGTGAGCCCACATGTGATATATGTTATGATTGAATAAGTGATTAAACTTGTTGTTTTTATTTTGTATATCCATACACCAATGTTACTTAGGCCCTTGGGTTAGTGAGGATATGTGACAGCCTCAAACTGCAGGACATAAATCATGTAGCCTTTTCGAGAAATTTGCCTGAAGCCATTTTGTCATTAAAGTTCCTGCTGTGAAATGTCTATCAACTGCACAGTTTGGCTGACACAAAAAGTCTTCGCACATTGTCAGAATTGCACGCAAATAATTAATCAAGATCAATAACATACCAAACCTGAAGTGATGTGTCAGCAAGTTACTTCTGCTTTCACCAGACTCAAAAATTAAGAGAAGGAAACCAAATGTTTTCTCAGCTGATGTATATGCCATGCTTTGTTGTGGCAGAAATATTTATCTATCTAGAAGATCTTTATGTTTTTTCTTACAGAAACGTGAGGGGGGTTTTTTGGTTTCCCAAACATACATGCAGTATATGAAATGAAACAGATGGTTGACAACACATCTGGTGTTTAGACACTGGACAAGAGGATAAGCCCTGTGTTTTCCCACTGATGGCTCAGCTGTTGCCAGTGGTGACAATGACAGTAAATAGGCAAGGGGGGGGGGGGGGGGGGGGGAGCAAGTGACAGCAAGACCAGACCCCAGGAAATGCCTCTGTCATCATCTGTACCACTTCCCTTTCTGGACGAGAACCACAGTTGGTTGAGGACCATAATTATGGGAAATAAAAAGAGAGCAAAAATTTGGACTCTATTTTCAGACCTCAATTTCAATATTCTGTCACACAACCGAAACACTATTACACAGTCTGGGAGATTTGCACTGATGGATATTGTCACCTAGGGAACAGGAGTTTTTGTGTAACTGAAATGTACAGATTGATATTTATAGTTTCTCTTCTACTTCAGTTTTTTCTAATCTATGAGGGTAAGTGAACATTTTCTGCCACATCATGATGTTTAGAATTTGATTCTGGCTGTTATTGGTTTATGCTCACCTCTTACATCAGGTGTCTAATTTCCTTCCCACGCAAGTTCATAACTTCATAACATGGCTCAGGGGGGGAGACGTGTTCACAGCAAGCACAAAATGTTTTGGGACAGACTGTTTTCAGAGCCCGTTTGACCCTCCTTCCCTGTGTAGTGTGTGTAACATTCCTGCTTTCTGGCATGAGCCTCACAGTTGACTCATCTCACAGCAGTGTGAGGTTAAACCGGCTGGAGAGTTTTTGCACTCTGTTGTGATTGGTTGAAGTTTCTTTTTCGTTTCAGATTGCCCTCCCCTCCCCCTCTTCCTTTCTCACATAACACATCCATCTTCCCTTTTTTGCTTGAAGTAAAACACAAAACAGTGTGGATGAGGATCCACCTCGCTTGTTCAAGTTACTGTCAGGTGAGAATGACATCACGGCCTGTGGTGTATGTCGTCCTAATCTCAGGACCAAAAGCAGTTTAAAACTTTAACAGCAAAGTCCTAAATACAAACAATGAATAACATGTTTAAGACAGTGGGATAAATCAATGTGAGTAATGAAACTCTAATGGGCTTTTGAATGGAGGTCATTGTTGCTTCCTGTTTTTTTTCAGTTTGCTTAGTAAACATTTCAAAACAACCCTTGGATGTTTCTGCTGTGTAGTTTCAAGACACACACCCTCCTGTCCTGTAAACGATCACCCGTCGCCTGTAAATAATCATCCTCCTGGTTCAGACAGCAGTGTTGTCAGCACTGAGTCAGAAAATTACTTGCCACCAAAAGGGTTTCCCAGGGTCATTGTGATCATTGTTTTTTTCAATTTAAATGTATGATTTTTTTTGGGGGGGGGGGAAACCACCTCATCCATTTGTTTCAATGAGGTCACAAATGAAACATAATTTACAGGTCAGGAGATCTCCATCTGCTGTTGTCTTCCTGGTAGACCAATGTTTTTGTTTCTCAGCATGTGGAAATTTACTGGACTTCAGATTTCTATACAGTGATTAACTTTTATGGTCAGCCTTTGCTCTCGGGGCATTGAACACTATGTACCTCTGCCCAATAAAAACAAAGAATAAACTTTTATGGCACCTGTGGCAGATATTTACTTATTATCTTGTTATTTGTCAACTCTCAGGTGAAGAGGCAAAATTGAAATCCAATTAAACACTAACATCATGGAAAATTTGGCAAATTCCTTATTTGCTGACTTACAGATACTTTATACAAACACTTGATATTAAATATAAGATTAGATATTATTAAGTGTGA